ACGGGCACCTGCATGACTCCGCCGAGGAGCGGCGGCTCATCGCCGAGGGTGACGCGTCCCCCGGCGAGGACAGGACGCCCCCTGGCCTGGCGGCCGAACTAGAGCGCCCGGGCGCCGCGGCGCAGCCCGCAGCCTCCCCGCCACCCGCCCAGCACCTAGCCTCGGCCTCCCGCGAGCAGCCCGCGGCGGACACGGCGATCAAAGTGGAGGGAGGCGCGGCCGCCAGCGACCAAATCCTCCCGGAGGCCGAGGTGCGCCTGGGCCAGGCCGGCTTCATGCAGCGCCAGTTCGGGGCCATGCTTCAGCCCGGGGTCAACAAATTCTCCCTGAGGATGTTCGGCAGCCAGAAAGCCGTTGAGCGTGAGCAGGAGAGGGTGAAGTCCGCCGGGTTCTGGATTATCCACCCCTACAGCGACTTCAGGTAAGAGGCCCGTGGGGATCCTGGGGATACCTTGTTTGGTGGCAGGCATGCTCCTCTCCCGGCCCTGCCTCCCAGCCGGAGTTAACTTTCCTTTCTTGCACGGGGAGCTCCAAGAGAAGAGGGGTGCCTCTAGATTGTGAGACACCCCCAGACTTCCTCCTGCACCGCAATGGGAACTTTCCTGTGTTGTGGCTTCTGGCTTCTCTCTTTGCTGTCTGGGCCGCATTAGAGTCAGACTGAAAAGGTGTTCTGAGCCCGGCCTAGCCTTCCCTGCAGCCAGACCAGAGCTCTGCCGCCTGGAGCCACACGTTCCACCTCCCCCAAAGGGCTGCAGAGTCAAGCTGGCCATCCCAGAGGCCGCCCAAGTCGGCCACCCTGCAGAGCAGGACCAGGAAGGAGGAGCACCTCTCAGTAGCTTGGCTCAGTAGCTTGGGTGCTGACTGCAGGAATTAATAGCCCTCAGCACCCTGGGAAGCTGCGGCCAAGCACCTGGAGGACTGAGGTTCCTGGGGCCTTGGGACCAGGATAATAGCCCTCTGTACTCGCTAACCCTGGGCCCAGCCCCTCAAGCTGAATAGCAGACCAGCAGCAGACTCCCTGGGCAGCCTGCTTCCAGACCAGCAGGGGAGAATGACCTTGCTCATAGTGGTCAGTGAAGATGCCTGGTGTCCTGCCTGATGTGCGGCTGTCCTGTGACCCCAAGCTCAGTTCAAGACCCCATTCCCACCCCAGTGGCTCAAGTTCCAGCCGCTACTAGGTCTCTTGAGGATCTGTTGTGGGTCCGCAGACAAAAGGTGTGTCTGCCAGTTGGGCAGAGGGACCCTGCCCCCTCCTGCATCACTGGAGTCAAATGCCACTGAACGGAAGATGCCAATCTGAGTCTGTGTATGAATGGGATCATTGGCTGCCCCTGGGGTGGAGACAGGGATACCCCTACCATAGTCAAGGTCCTGAGGTCCCCCAGTGTCCCTCTGGGTGTCCTTCCCACACCCGGCTGAGATGAAGGCCTGGGAAGCATTCACTTTTTCCAGCTTGGTGTCTCATTCTCCCTTTCTCCGGCCCTGCCCCCTACGAGGCTCCCTCGCCTGCCTATATAAATGAGCATGGTGCCAGCCCAGAGCCCTCTTTGCAAACTCCAGGGAAGCTGGATTTGTAATGAGAGCAAAGCCATTTTCCATCCAATGGGAGAGATTTCTCTGGCCGAGAATGACCAGTCAGACAGCACTCGATGGCTTAAAATAGGAGGTGAATAGAGGCCCCCTTCTTTTTTCTTTTCTTTTTTTTTCCTTTTGAGGGACTGATCTTTCTAACCCTCAGATCCAGGTTTCCCATTCCCAGAGGGCAAGGAGGCCAGAGGGCAGGCTTCACAGAGTCGCAGCCATCACACTGTGTGGGCTGATGTGGGTTCCTCCCCTCAGGGACAGTGGCTGGGCTGCCAGTGCCAGGTTCCTGAAGAGTGGACTCTCCCTTGAGGGTCCCCCCTTGGAGGTTGAGCTTGGGAGGAGTGGACAGGCTCCCCGTCTCCTCCACCCTGAGTGTCCTGGGCTCCTCCTCCTCCCGCTGAACTCTTCAGTGGTAGTGACAGGCCATTCCAGTATCAGCCACTTGAGATTACTGAGGGTCCCCCCTGCTCTCCCTCCACCCCCGTGATAGGAGAGCTTCTGTCCAGGGTTCTTGTCACCAAGCCCAGTGCCAACCCCAGGCATGCCCAGCCTCCAGGAACAACAAGCCCTGCTGGAGGACATTCTGGGCACTGGGCCTTGCCCTCCTGGCCTCCCTTACCTCAGACGGTGAGGAGCCAGGACAGGGTTGATTTCTCCTCTAGGAGCTGCCACCTTTCTGATCTTACCTCGGCCCACCTGGTCTGTCTGTTGTCTGTGATGCCCCTGCTGCCGAGCTTCCCACTGCCCTCTCCCTGCAGGCTGCCTGGGTCCTGGCCTTGGAGGAGGGCGGTGGGGATGGGGAGGGTGTGGATGTAGCAGGACCGATAAATGGACAGCGGGAAACCGGTCCATCTGGGTTGGATTTGGGTTTGTGCAACAAGCAGCAGGGATGGATGGCTGTAAGTGTACATCCCTTGTGCACACCCTTCTCACTGTCTGATGCTGGGTCTGGCAGAAAGAAAGAAATCCAAGGAAGAAAGACATCTGTGTGCGCGTGTGCGTGCGCTTATGCATAAGTATGTGTTTTTGGAGGAGTAGTGGTCATGCCTCCAAGCCAAAATGGCTAGTTTCAGCTTCAGAAGGTTGAAGAGGCATAGGCCTGGTTAAGTCTGCTAAGCTTAGGAAACCCACCACTCAACCCATTCTAACGCGTGTCCCCTCGTACCCAACACCCTGAGCTTCGGTCCCTAGAGTTTCAGCCCCTGGCCTTGGCCTCTCTGTGGAGCCAGTGATCATTTTCCACCTCCAGCTCCATCAGAGCCTCTGTAAACATTGCCCAGGCCAGTTCAGGATTTATTCATCATTTTGATGGGCAGGAAGCATTGATCCAGCAGAATTGGTTTAATAAAGAATCACCAGCAAACCATGATAGATAGAGTGTGTGGTTTGAAGTTTAGGTCTGGCTGTGATGGGCTGCTTCTGGCCTTTCCTTTCCTGGGGGAGGAAGGCTGGGTACCTTTCCTGGGCTGGGCTGGGCTGGGCTGGGCTTACCTGGGGGCTTGGAGATCCCACAGTAGTCGGACACGACTGATGATGGGCTTCCCTTGGAAGGTTCTGCTTTGTGTCACTGTACCACTCCCCCTAGGCCATGCCCTAGGTCCCACGTGGCTCCTCCAGCCTGCGTGGGCCTGTCTGGCCTCCCTTCCCCTCCTGCGCCTCATTTACCTTTTGAAACTTGTCTGTATGGTTTGTGAAGGGAAGAGGTCACTTGTGGCTGCCCCTCTTTACACCGCTCCCCAGGCCTTGCTCAGCCCTGGCTGAGTTCTTGGTCTCTAGCAGGTCCTTCCCGCCACTGGAGCCACGGGCTGTAGCCAAGCCTTGGTGATGGGAACCTGAGCGAATAAAGCATAGTATCTAGACAACCTGGGTTTTCCAAGAGGAAAGAAACGGGTATTGAGGGAGGGGGGACCACAAGGAACGTGGTAGCTGGCTTTGTTGTCAGAAGCTGGTCAGCCTTTCCAGCTCCAGGCTCTGGGAGTTAGCGCGGGCATGTGAAGGTAGGTGTCCGAGCAGCTGTCTTGGGGCTGTGTGGGTGGACATGGAGTTGGCCGGGCAGGCCATATGTGGAATGTGTGGGGCCACTGGCGGGGCCCAGGCACCAGCTCAGCCTTGAGCATGGAGGCGGGTGAATGTGTAGCCCTTCCACCCACCGCCCCCTACCCTCCCTTGGCCTGAGCCTCCCAGGGCTATGTGGAAGGGAAGGGAAGGCAGCCCTTACAGCATCCTTTCCTTGGGGTAGATACAGCGGGGCTCTGATACCAGTCTAGGTCTAGTAGGTCCTCGGTTGCCTGAGCTGACTTCCTGGTGTACTTGCTGGTCCCTGCACCCGGTCATTGCCATTTTTCAGCTCCCGTCACCTCCCACCCTTGTCTGCTATGAGGCCCTGTTTGGGATAGGAACCTTCCTTGAACCTCCGTGGGAATGCTATTGCCTATCTCTGCATCAGACACAAATTGTACAGGAATGGACCATCTATGACCATCACTGTCAAAGGCTCATGGATACGGCTGTGACCACACCTCCCTGCCTCCTTCCTTCCTGGGTTGATCACATGGCCTTTCTTCCTGGCTTTGGCCTGGGGTTTTGAGTAAGAAACCTCACTGAAAACCTGCTAGAAACTATGGTATCTGCGTCCAACAAACAAACAAATAAACATTCACTCAATGTGGCACTCAGTGTGCAGTGTCTGTGGCTCCCTTAAATTGAGGGCCATCTGGGAGCTGAATTTGGGAACCTTACTGCGGCCCACCCCAACAGACAGTCTGGGCCTGGCAGGAAGGAGGCAGGTACTATCCTTCCCCGGAAGTCCGTGTATGTCGGTGTCTATGGCCCCCCTGTGTCTGGGGCTTGGGCTGCCCATGGCTGGTAAAATGGAAATGAAATCAAAGGTCAGAGCTAGATGCCTGGAGAAGAAACAGAGATGTTTGGAGACCATTTTCAGTGTTCCTGGGAGCCGTTGCCCCGGAACCTTACTGCTGGCAGTGTGGAAAGCGGGCCGAAAGGAGCAGCCGTCCTGGGCACCAGGGAGGGACGGGACGCCATGGTGCAGAGGGGAATTCCAAGGTGAGCTGCCTGGGCAGTGCTGCTAGTGGGCACAGGGGGCAGTAGGTCTCCAGTGTGAGGTGCGCCCCACCTCACGAGGCTGGGTGGGTGGAACTCAGAAGCAGTGATCCCAGGAGGCCGGCACCCAGAAGCAGCTGAGGCCAATGACAGGACCCTCGGCCACCTCGGTGGAGGCCTGGGCTCCAGGTTCTTCCCGGTCTGGTGACCACATAGCCGGGCTGTGGCTGCCTTCTCCCCAGCCTGCCCTCTTGGCTCCCTGAGTGCCGAGAGGCACAAGGCTTTCACACTGTGGAGTAGCCTTGTGCAGTGAGCTTTGACAGAGTGGGGCTGTCCACCTGTCCGTCTGCCCTCCTGTCCCCTGCTTTAGGGCCCCACATTCCTGGGTCTTCTTCGATGCTCTTTTGGGTCGCTCAGCCGCCATCTCTCTGTCCTTCTTGGCCACCTTGTGGCATTTGGATGAGCTCTGTGTTTGTTATAATGCAGCTTCTCACTGTAATGTCATTCAGCTTACTCGAGGCCTTTGTCAAAATACAGATTATGATTCAGTAGCTCTGGGCTGGGGTCTGGGATTCCGCACATGGGATGAGCCCCCAGGTGCTATTGCGGCTGACCGTGCTGCCCTAACCAGGACCAGGCTTGAGGTACAGAGCATGTGTGCTTGCTCCTGGCTTGACTGCCTCGAGAGCACAGCCTCTGTCTTATCTCCTTCACCTGGGCCTCCAGCCCCAAGTTCAGGCTGGGCCCGAATGCTGGGAACTGGGCGGAACCAACCAC